AATTACCAATGAAATATCTATATTTCTCTATTTCGAAAAATTGATATCTTCACACGTGAAAATAACATGTTATTTTCACGTGTGAAAATAACACCTATTGCGATGGCTATTGAAAAATACAAGGAAAGAATTGCCTGAAAAAGCCAAAACATACTTCATTGATAATTCTATAATAAACAGAATATTACATGGGCGCTTGGAGATACGAAATTTATCTTCTCGTGTTGAAAATCTCTCACTCGTTCGCTGCGCTCACTTGTGAGAGATCTTTTCAACACTCGAAGATAAATGTCGTATCTCCGCGCGCCCATGTAATATCCTCTATATATTAAATAAAAAAATATATACTATATTCTATATGTACAAAACATACACACATATATACATACACACACACAATTATTATCGAATATTAACAGAATATATTATATATACATACATGCATTCCCTATAATTTCGAATTTATTGTTGTTAAAAAAACGTCTTCTATGACCTCGTAACAAAACTTCTCCCTAATCATTTTGGGCATTCTTTTTGAGCGTTTCGGAATAATCAATCAACAGTTTCTTGAACTGATGTCTTGAATGGTCCTTTTGAGTGTATTCGACAGCGCGCAGATAGGGCAAAAACTGTTCTGTCATTCAAAACCCTGTGAATAGCATTTGAAACTTTCAATAATTTCACGAATTTGCCACGAACCGATTGATGAGGTTCTCAGGACAACAAATTTGTGAGGATGAAAATTTGAATCATGATCGTGTGAATATATTATTGCAATTAGAGATGCAAAGAGCCAACAAGGATGTCATCTGTTTATACATATATTAAACAAGCACGCACCGTATCATTTGACCACAGCGAAAGAAGGAAGCAACAAATTTATACCTTTACAAAGCTTAATATCTGAGTGAGATGCAAACTGCCCATTGTTTTCTATTTTTGTTTTATTTTAAAATTGCTATAAATTGGGTTTCATTTCTACACTTTCTACCGGGTTTCCACACTTCTCAAAAGCCACAAAGAGGCTACAAATTTATCAGTATTTATTTGAAGTTTATCGATTTCCATTCAGTGCATAATTGTATATTTCTAGCTAACGTTTTCCTCCTTTATAAATTTAGATTTAAATGTCGTGCGATTCGTACGATTATTTACTATTATATCATGCAGTGGCGGATCCAGGGTTTTGTTCAGGGAGGGGTGCTGCGCACAAAGTTAACCCAGGAGGGGTACACCCCTTAGAATCAAAGGAAAAAGCAGTATTGGTTAACTTCGAAGTGGGGGCACAAAGTGGAACCAGGGAGGGGTGCGCACCCCATGCACCCCTCCCCTGAATCCGCCCCTGTCATGAACGGCTGTCGTAGCTAGCTGACTGCCAAACCAATCGTAGAAGGTCATCAAAACCGAAACAGATCAAAGAGGGACTGATATTTCGTTAAACCAGATGCAAAGAAAACTCATTTCGGGGTTTTATTTTTTCTAAGTAAAACCACTAGGGGAAAAAACATTACTAGCTTAAGGCTTTTTCTGATATATGAATATTTATTTTCTATAGCTATGATTAATAGTGGCGTAGTTAGACATCAAGACGTAAAGCTACAAAAATAAACATTTCTCAAAATAGTCTTGGATGCGAGACAATTAAAACATGAAAACCTTAAAGCAGTGAGACCTTCTCGATGGTGTTTATATGTGGCATTTCTTTTGCATTTTTATGCTGGCCTCGCATTCGAGATCAATTTTGTTTGAGTCCATTTGGAAATTTATTTATTCATTCACTTTCCAGTAGAATTACGCGAATGATAAAATATATGTAAACCTGAAATAATTGTCTTTAACATCCGCATTTTGTGACCTAAGCGTGGGTGCAATTTACTGTGATTAAGATTAAAACTCTCTTTACCCTTTACCTTGAAAGAATATATCTTTTGATCATTGGTTATATAAAAGTGGGGAGTGGACAATTGGCGGGAGACTTGCGTCGTTCATTGAAACGAAAGAAGCTTACACATACAACGAGAAAAATGGCTGAATTAAACGAGTTAGAACCTTTCGAGAAGAGCCAAGATGGGTCCAAGAAACCGCTTTTTGGTTCAACTTCCAACAGCGATGACAGCAATGAGAACAACCCTGAGATTGAAGACAAGACGGAAGATCGAGAAAAATGGGCAAGTAAAGCAGAGTTCATGCTGTCCTCTCTCGGTTATTGTGTTGGGTTTGGTAATATTTGGCGTTTCCCTTACCTCTGCTACAAGAACGGGGGAGGTAAGTTAACGAAGAATATCTGATGTTTTGAATTTACTACACCAAAACTTTAAGCTTATATAAACTTAAATGATCCTGAATATTCAAGCCTGTCGTGGATGTCGTCTGATCCTTTCTTCCTCGCTTCACTTCAACTTCACTATCCGTAAAGACGCCATCTCTAAAGAAACATTATCTGTGTTTTTAGTTGGCAAATTGTCATTATTGTAAAGCCCACCTATTCCAGTTTTCAACCAGTTTTTACTTTCTTAAACATTCACCTTTGACAGCCATGGGTATCAAGTTCCCAGCTCTCTCAACGCATTTATCATTGACATTGTTGACTATTAATTTTCCATATGGAAATTTATTTATTTATTTAAATACTTAGGATTGTTTAGTTTGGAATAATAAGAGAAGAGTTTTATATTCTTTTTTGAGAGTTCGGTAAAGACACGTTTACCCGGAAAATTACTAGTACCTGATCTCTTCATCCCACGTGTTTTAATTTCTAGCATTCTTGATCAATGATTTTTGTCGTTTTAAATTTTTAATATGATTCATCAAAACTAACTAATACAAGAAGCATTATCCCTCTTAAAAACTTAGTGATACACAATTTATATTGGTAGATTTATTTTTGCTTATTTTGGCTTTCGCTTGGAAATTTTTAAAATATGCCTTTATGATTATGTAAATATTTTGAAACAAATTTATTCAAATTCTTCATTCAACTGGTATCTTCTATCATTTATCATTACATATTCTCGTTAATGATATTGATTGAGAGTTGATTATCGAGTTCTTTACTATCGAAGATTTTTTCTTTTATTATGATTTATATATTTTTCTTCGGAATTTTCTATAAGTGTTCTTCATGTACAAAGAAGTACACTTGAATTTAGCTACAACCAAAAAAATTGTTGATTTGAAAGATGCTACCAACAGGCATCCCAATTTTGTTGACAATTCAAACATCTCAATAACCTAGCTATTTCGTAGATCTGTTTAATATAGTACACTTTTTATAAGTTTAGAAGGGGGTTAGATACACGAGGCAGATGGATCATTAGAAATCAGGTTTATAAAGCTTTTTAGAACAATGGTGAGTTATCATACAAATTTTCCATTATTATGTTTTCCCCAGGGACCATTCTAAAGTCACTCTAAAAGTAGGAAGGAAGGAAGCTTTCTTTTCTGAATGAGATATCGAAATGAATAAAATCATTTCCCGTACGAAACGGGCAGATCTGTTTTTGATCTGCTGCAGATCTGTTGCAGATCTGCCCGTTTCGTACGGGTTGTTAACAAAATACATTAAAATAAGAAATAATAATAGCAAATTTTGTTCTCTGTATTAAGCTGAAATTTCAACATTGTATTTTTTATGAAAAACAAATGAAAATTCTAAAAACTATCATGCCTAAATAAGTATTATTATTATTATTACTATCCCAAGGGCCAGTGCTAAAAATAAAATGAAAGTCAAACACTGGTAGTGGCAATGTGTGAGAGTGAAAGCAAGCCAAATTGGAAACCAATATTTTAGAGCCGTTTTCATTAACCCGTGAAACAAAGCCTACTAATTTCACGGAGTTTTAGAAACCACTCTATACAGTTGTTCCCAGATTATTCCATGTTAGTGATTTTATAAGCTGGAATGATTCTTATCTTGTCAGACCTTGTAACATGGTAGACTTCACTTTTTCGGCACTAGCCATCATGCGGTATTGATTGTGTTGCTGTAACCAAAAAGATCAGACATTATAAGTTTGTTTAGCTTGGTGAAACAATTGTTTTAAATATAATTTTTATGATGTATCATTTTTTCCAGCATCATTTTTGATTCCCTACTTCTTGATGTTGTTCTTGAAYGGCATCCCTCTGTTCTTCCTTGAGTTAGCCATTGGTCAGTGGTTCAGTTCTGGTGTGATCGGTGTTTGGAAGTCAATTTGCCCTCTCTTTAAAGGTTGGTATATGTAACATACTGTTTGTATCAGACTTTCACCATGCTTTATTTTGCGTAGTGCTTAAACAACACAGGCACAAAGGTCCTAATTATAAAATATATAAAATGGACTAGTTTTAAATGTCTTTCTCATTCTGCAATGATATTTGCATTCAGTCAGCAATCATACACTTATCCATCTTATGATAGAATTGATATTCTCTGAATTATAAAATGTTTTGGTCAGCCTTGAGAAAAGCTTAAAACTAGTTTATTTTATTGTGAAACAATCCGGTGTAATAGTCTTGCTTTGCTTGTCACCTTGCTTGTTGTATACCTTTTCATTTGGGGATAAAGCTAAGGTTGATAAACTTCAGGATTGTTTGTTCAAACCAGACTACTGAAGTATAATCTTTCAACAACACAAACTGTAAATACATCAGTGATTTTTCTCACTCAACAGAATCAAAGTTCACAATTTATGAAAAGTTCACAATTGTTCTCTGACTGATGACAGATCATGGTTATTCACATTCACAGCAAATAAAACACATAAATTCTTGTACTATTTTATGTACATCTTTCTGAACTGACCTCTTCAAAGGTCTTTTCCTTAGAGCCAAATGAAAACTACAACATTCAAGGAAGTTTCAATTGTGATTCAAAGGAATCAACCATGCCCTCATTTCAATAAGATTTGGAAATGACAAAGTTGGAATCAGTGAGGTTATTAAGAGAATTTGAAATTATTATCAAGATTTTTGGATCAAAAATAATACATATATATTAGGCTTGTTATGTACTAAGTATGCTTTTTCTTAACATTTTTTAAATATTTTCAATATTAAACCCTTTTTGGTCATAAAGAACAATGTCCTTTAAATCTCTATTTCTTTTTCATCCATTCATTTCTTTATTCCTTTCTTTATTCATTTATTTATTTATTAAGTGAACTTGAAAACAAAACTTACAGAAACCAAATACAATCTTACAACAGTAGAAAATATAATTTTGACTAAGCAAAGTAGACATTTAGAAAATTCAGTTCAACTTTCTTTATCCTCATAGTGAAAAGGAATTATAAAATCTTTAAGTGAAATTAAATTTCAAAATATTCTCATATGTTATTCTCACTGGATTCAACTTTGGATCAATAAGATATATTTTCAGATTATGGCAATTTTCAATATTAAGCAATCTCTGCAGGCTGTTTAAGCCGCAAGCTGAAATGTGTTTTTTCGCTTCTGTCCAATCAAAAGCAATCAGACGGTGTCTTTTCCATTTTGAGTGGCAGCAGTGATTAGCCATATTTTAACAGGCAACTCGCTACTACAGCTACAGGGTTTGCAGTGTTTTGAAAACTGCAGTAATATACAACTTATCTTGAAATGAGGACAAACTTCAAGCATAGGCAAGACTATTACACATTACGAGTCATTCATTGCATGTATCTGCATGTATGAAATAGAGTTTATGGTGTGGGTGATTGTGTGTGCAGTGATAGGGGTTAATTTCCTGGCGGTTCTGGGTCTGTATGGGGTAAGGTAATCATACTGGGTTAAATTACTTGCACATATATACTAAAATATTGCTGTTCAACTTTTTAACATGTCAGCAAAGCATGTTCTTTCCCTAACACTATTGTGTACTGATTACCACTTTTGATTTCACTCGAAAAAATTCTCGTGTTTTATCACAAGGTTTCAGGAATATTTCATTTTTGGATTGAAATGATTAATTCTAAAAATAATGAAAAATAAAAAACAAACCATATTATTTTTTCATTTAAAATTTTTGAGATGGTCCAAGCATTCTTTTGATCAATTCCTGCAGACCAAAAAATTGTTCTAAATGGTTTTGTCCTAACAGYAACAGATTATTGATAACCGTTATGTTCCTTCGATTGGTTGTTTAATCAGCACCTGATCGATAGCCTAGCTGATGTCATCCCCTGACGCAGTCGAGACTTCCACTCTTATGGGATGGTAAACATATTAAATGCTTAATATTCTTCTCCATCTATTAATAATTTTAATTAACAAGTGATTGAAAAGTCGTTTCCTTCTTTTTTTAAAATACCAGGAAAAGATTTTTTTTTTTTTTTTTGAAAATTCTCAATTGAATTTGATTGTTGCTTTTTAAAATTTGATGATTGTACTTTTTTAATAGGTTTTTAAAAAGAGTTGGAATAGTTTACTGAATGATATAGTCGAGGTATGGATGTGGAGCATTACATTATCATATATCTAGTATAAACATATTTAAATTCAAATTTGACTTTCATCATCCCAGGGGTTGTTTCATGGTTGAATTGGTGAGTTAGCCGTGCCCTAACTTAGATCAGCCCAGAAGTTGTTTCAGGGTGTGATAAAATTCATGTTTGGTTTGATGGCAGTGATGTTCAAAAGTTTTTGTTTACTCCAGACCTATCCATACTTGGCAGTGCTTTATGAATCAGTAAAACTAAATTAACTCAACATTTTAAAAACCACACATGGTTTCCTATTTATATTACTTCAAAAAGATTATCTTTAACATTACTAATGATATTATAAGAATAAAATATTAGCAGCCTCGTAGACAGGTGCTCTAGTAGGTCAGATGTGGAGCCATTTTTATCATGGCTAAAATATTATCCAATAATAGACTAAAAAATGTTAACAGACAGCACAGGTACTCAATTGGCTCTCGATGTTTGCCATAGCATAAGATGACTTGCATTGCACTTGTTATCTAGGCGTTAATGTTTTATTCTCTATATCATTCTTCAAAGTGCAACAAAATCTTCAGGGAAATTTTCATTTCTTGTGAGTCAGAATACACAATTTTGGCATACTTGCCTCATAAGTTTTCTATTTTGAAATTCCAGATATAGTAAATAATTGATGCCAGAATATTTATAGACTTGGATTTTATCAGAAACACAGTCCTACATATTTACAAGTGCTTGTGTGTATATAACTGTAGATAATCCAGGCTTTTAACCAATGTTCAAATTTATGTTAATGGTTGTTATGTACGGGTATAAGGATTCATTCAGCCATGACCTAGCACTCTATTCTTCAAAGGCAGCTCACATCATGGTGGCCCCATGTTGGTGCCATTTTACAAAAGATTTCTCTTTTGCATCAGTTGTTAGCCACAACAATATGGTGGTTTGTCTTTTGACTCTGCTGAGAATGCTTGAAAACCACCAATAAGGTCTTTGCTGTGTACCTGATCATTGGACACACATGATAAATTATTATCCCTCTTTTGTTTTCTAGTTGTTTTTAATGGATTTTTCTTTTTGAATTAGAATTTACTTTGATCCACCTATTAACAAAAACCCTTTAGCTATTTCTTTTTCTAAATCTTCTTGTATAGACATGGATAATTTTTTTTGTATTCTTAATTCTTTTTATGTTTTAGACATGAATAAATTCCCCTCATTAAGTAGTTTTCCAACTGAGTGTTGTTTTCCCAGACACCTCTTCATTAACAATGACACAATAGGAAGATGCCGGCTTTTAAAAACAGAAATTTATAGTTTTTATTTGTTTCAAATTTTTCATTTTAACTTAAAAAGCTGTAGCGCACAGTCAAAAAACTCAAACTCTATTAAACCAACCTTTAAAATAACTAGTAAATTCCATTATTAAATGTATGAAGATGCTAGTACTATGATGCCGTTCAACTGAGAAAAGTCACAGCAGGTGCCTATTTGCACAGAATAGAGTAAATTCTCCCAAGGTGGAATTATTTTTTCTAAAAACAAAATTTATTCCTAAATTTATGAGAGTACTGTCAGATTAGTGTCTGGAGCATTATTTATACATTGTCAACCTTTTAGAGCAGATTTCATTCCTCGAAAAATTTTGATAGCCTGAAGTGTCATATATCATCTATGACCAAGAGGTCTTGAATATAGTTCTTCAGTCTTCATCACTTAGGAAACAAGCTTTTTAATGTTCAAAACCTTTTTAATTTTTGATATTGGTAGGTGTAATAAGTAATTCGCTTTTTCAAGACTCTGAATTTTTTCCGAGTCTTTCAATTTTCAGCTGCATAAGTTGCTTCATGTACTGCGAGGATCAGCTCAATTTGATACATTACAACCACAGTACAAGTATATATTTCATATTCTCATACGCATTTAATTCGCTTTTTGTTGATCAGAAAATTTATCAGCTAGATATTTTCCTTTTCTTTTGTTGTTTTCCTTTCTTTTTTTTAAAAATAGATTATCAAATATTGTTCTCATAACAAATTATTTTTTCTTATATGCTATGAAATTACTGCTGGTTTTGTAGAAAATTTTTTCATAAATGAATTAATAAACTCAAACATTATTCTTTCCTCATAATGGCACCTAAACAGGTGGCTGTATTGTTTATAATTGTGAAAGCTGTGCATTATTTATTTTCATTGTTTGTTCTGTTCTCGCGAATTAATTAGCTGAATCTATAATTCTTTTTTTAGCTCTGAATAATGTGCGGCACTTAATGTTATCACAAACTTTTGATGATTATCTTTTTATTCCCATAACCACTTTAGATCACACCACATCCATCTATTAATTAACCAACGCACAGGTCATTCTATCTAGTTGGTGGTTTTCTGTTATCTGATAGCTTGGCAATTATGGGAATATTTTATTGAAATTGATTTAGGACTTAAACAGTCAGGGAGGAGAGGGAGGGGCATTATGGTTGGATGCAGGGGGGAGAGGGGGTTAATTGTTAGAGGGAGAGGGAGAGAGGATGGGAGAACTACTGCACGTAGTGAAAGATTTAAGGGTAGTTAATGGTAGAGTGTAAATGGGAAATCATTCATAAACTATTCCCATAAAGTCTGCCCAATTTTGAATGAAAACCATGAACTAGAATAGAACAACACTTACTAGTTTACAGACAAACCTACAGCGGCTAAACTGCGTAAATGACTTCAGGAACACAGAAATTAGAATTTCCTAGCATATTTTGTTGCACTGTAGAAAGAAAAATTTGATTTGTATTGATCTATTCCTCCAGGAATAGGAACCGTAAAATTATTATTTTAGCTCCCAAATGAGCTTTTAAACTTGAACATTCCATATATTTTGGAAATTAAAGTACAAATCAAAATTTCAAATACATTTTTAATAAACTGATATTCTAAAATAAATTATAGAAGTGCTCATCTTACACTTTACAGTTTAAGTATTCTGGGTTCTCATTTTGTGTAGAGGACACAACCATCTATGTTAGACTCCTTGCATGTGATGTCAAACAAGCTCAATTTGGAGGACAAAACAAAAGAATTTCAGTCTCCTGAGAATTGTAAACTTATCATTTTGTCCTTCAAATTGAGCTGCATTCCGGCATATTTATATTGAATCATGTACACTGTGTCCTCTACACAAAGATATACCCCTATTTTATCATCAAGGTAATTGACAAAGAGTACTAAACGACTTACTTTCATGTCAGTATATTTAACTCCCCGCAACTTTAACCTCATATTGATAAATCTTCTGTACTTTACTCTATGCTAATTCTGTGTACGTAATTCTGTTTCAACTCAACCCAGTATTATTTCAATTAACATTCTTCATTCATAAAACCTTTATTAATTCTTATTTAATGTTAATTTTTTCATACTATGGATCTGGACCAACTGTGGYGACATGTTACATTGTTACATGTATTACAGTGAATACCTTACTGGCAATGTGCTAGATCCGAGAAAGTGACAAAACTAGGCATGTCAGGAGAAAATTTAGGGTGTGGTAGTTTGGTGAGATCCATAGTAAGTTGATTTAAACTTCTTCATTCTAATTCTTTTCTTTCTGTAAAGTATGAATGACATGCTCTTCTAGTGCTTGTAAAACTAATGATTCCTAAATATAATGAGTAATTTTGACGTCACTGTAACCTATAATTCTTAACATAGTAACTTTAAACCTCATCGTAACCTTTAACTCCTACCATAGTAACTTGTACTGTAGCTATCTTCTGTTAAGTGTATTTTCTTTGAGAAGAACAGATAAATCACATTCATGTCAACAAAGTTATATTCAACTAGAGCTCAGGTTTTTTTATGGAATGGTCATAGGAATTGGATACACGATTTGTTGGATATCCTACATGTGCTGTATCTACTATATCGTGATTCTTTGCTGGATTTTCTACTTCCTGTTCATGTCATTTCAATCTCCCGTTCCATGGAAGAATTGTGGTAATGAATGGAACACCATTTACTGCAGGTAAGCTAGTACATTGTATAGTTTATTTTTCATCAAGGGCTTGTGGTGTAGTGCATTCCCCTCTCGTCTCTGGTTTGATTCCTGGACTTTGCATCATATGAGTAGAGTTGAATGGGTCTCAGTCCCTTTGAGTCAAGGGTTTTCTATGAATTCTCTACTTTTTCTCACTCTACAAGATCTAAATTCAATCTGTGAGTTTACCATGCCCTGACTTAGATCAGCCAAGAGGTTATTTCAGGGTTCAATCTGTGAGTTAGCTGTGCCCTGACTTAGATCAGCCCAGAGGTTGTTT